TATATATATATATATATATATGCTACTATTACACTATTAACCCCAATATTACTAAAAATCTCAATACACAATAATAACTGTCAAAATATGTAATGACAGCCGCTCAACAAAGTAAGCATAGTGAGATAACCATACTTTTTTTTTAGATAGGAACTAAAAAAAACATTGCCGATATGTACTTGTTTAAAAATATTTAGAATAGATACAATAATGATAAAATCAGTAATTGAAGACATTCAACATTTTAGCTGGACGTTCAAATAATCAAAGGTAAAAAGGTAGATAGTTTTGATTAATTACGAATATCTATTTTACTTTACATCTAAAAAAAATATTGCCTGTACCTATTTAAAAATATTTAGAATAGATACAAGGAAAATAAATTCAGCAATAAAGCCATTCGACATTTTAACTGGATGTTTAATATGAACAATATATAGTCATTTGTATCTCGAAATTGTGCAGTATTTGAATTTTAAAAAACTATCGGGCGCGTTGAAGAAGGGGAATAATAATTTTGATTAGATCACTATATCGAGAAAACTTTTTGTCCCGCGTAAACCGGGTGAAGGCAACCGATCATTGAAAGTAATTTCACGTTCCAAACGGTGCGAGTGAGCGTGTCAAGGAAACGCGAATAGCGTGCCTGAATTGATGTAAGGTTCTTGCACCGACGATCTGTCGTGAATATCTTGCAACAATTACAACACGATCCTACGTGCATTGACCGAGACAACAATGCAATTTGAATTAAAGTTGTTGTGCGAACCAGCCGCGTGAATGAAGTAAAATTGCTACAATTTTCCTATAAAAATGTTAGCTATATTCTTAATAAATATTATGCTAACAATAAGTTATACTATGCAATGCAGCCTAAAGCATTTCATCATTTCATTTGAACAATATAAATGCTAATTTCTGCCTATCTTCGCGTCGTTCAGTTTGTATAATATTTAAATGAAACGCTGCGCTAAAGCAAATATTTAATATCACAAATCGTACGCACGTACGATCACGTGTTTTCCATTTGCAGACAATTTACGTTCGCCGGGGAATTACTTGTTATTGCACCCGTATTTCCGCAAACACCCGCGCATTGCAGACGCGCTGATTTCGCGTCGTAAAAAAAAAAGATGTAAGGTACGTTTTATGAGATTTTGCGCACCTTCGACGCACCGTCCGTCGCATCATGCTCGCATCTCGTGTACCAATAATGATAAGATTTATCTACCGCGTTTATGCGCTCCTAGGACAGGAAAGTTGATTGCTGATTTCCTGAGCACTCGGATCTCACTATTGCCGCGGATTACAAAGCTCTTGCATAAGAGAACGACTCCTTATCTTTGTATTCCTCCATGCTACGCACATCCTCTTATTATGTCACCAATACGACATTATTCAAAGATGTTCAAGGTTAGCCATGACATTTGAAAGCACACTATACATTTAAAACCTATATCCATATTTAAGAAACCTTTCTCTGTCTTCTTAAGGAATACACGGAAAGTAGCAATCGTGCAATAAATCTAATATAAGTATTATTTAATTTTTATACTAAATTAAATTTCTTTTCTTATAAAAAATGAAATAATACTTCGATGGAAATGATAAAAATGATATCTGGTGCCAAATTGGTATCGGAATACGGAAATCACTACAGCCAGAATTTTGGATAATTCAATGATTCATATATATCTTCGCATGAATAACAACGTTATTCAGATTCACATACACAATTCTAACGACACCGAGACCATATCGTAAAATCGTTATACGTCAACGTAAACTGGAAAACGAGTTCTAAATTTTTCAAACGTTGTACGCCGGTAAAGCCAATCGATATTGCGAGAATTTTATTTTTTGCCTTTGAAATCAAACGCCGAACTCACACGATAGGTATCTCTCGAACTCGCGGCTGTTTGGTCCTCTATCCCACGACACTTCGTACCATCGAGCACCGATCGGGAAACAGGATCACCATCGAAAGCGCTCCGCTCCGCTCGATGGTTCGCGCGCAACTGCCAAGGAACAGGGCGCGATTCACGATACAGCTTCGTCGCTTCCTCTCCTGGTCATCCAGGTTTCCTGATCGTCGCCGCGATCGCCGTATCGGCCATCATGTACGGTGTCCCTTCACCTGCCGAATACATCAAGTGCGATGCCGTCTTCCGAATCGCGGGATACCGTACGAGCGGTGGTGTGACCGGTGTCCGGTTTGTTGCGAACGACGATCGCAACGATCGATATCCAGGAGGAAGGCATGTCCCTTTCCAAGCATGTATACATTCCAAATTAACCCCAATCCGATGTGTCCCCGAGTTCATTGTACCTTGTCCTCGTCCTCGGGAAATTCTACGATCGAATTTATTTATCCTACTAATTATTATACTTCATTGGAACGATATTTTCTATTTTTTTAAGAGCTTTTTTTACTGCCACTAATTGTCTAATTGTTCGATTATTTTATAAATCCAAGTAACTTTATCACAGTACTTACATCAAAGTTTGTTCTACAGAAATCATATATGCATAATCATTTTTTTATAAAGAAGTAATTTTTACGTTGAAAATACATAAATTTCTGATTTATTATAGCGACGTCAAAATTGCTAATGAAAAATGCAAAAGAAACCGGAACTCTATCAATTTTAACGGACAATTAGAAATCACAGGTTTGTACAATAGCAATGAGCTCACCAGAAAATTGTTAAATAAATCACAATATAACTTGCATGTATATCCGCGTATACAAACGAAATATTCTGCTCCTTCGTCATTTCGATATTCCTAAAAGAGCTCATTATTCTTGATTATTTCTTATCTTGATTATTTTAATTAAATTTTATTTAAATGGATTATTTTACTTATAGTAGTAAATCAATAATTCAGACATCTCATCAGAGAGCTTTGTTGAACCGTTCAATATGCATGTACAAAGTGTGCAATGTTCGTAATGATCAATCAATTATCGAAAGAGAAAAGGATGATAAGGCAAGAAGTATGTTGTTTACCTTGAAAAAATTATCTTTTTTTCAAGCAGTAATTTAAAACTATACTTAATAGCCATTTAATACGAAGTCACAAAAGGATTCACACAGTGTTGGCACGATAATTAGTGTATATGTAATCATTAAAATTATCTGCGTGTATAATGCGAAGCGTGCGTTATACGTAATAATAGTAATGTAGTTTATACAATATTTTTTCGGAGAAAAATACTTTGAAGAAAAATGCTTATTATAAAATCCAATTTATCCCATCATGAATTTTAACGAACTAATTTTAAGCATTTAATTAATTCAATTTTAAGTATAATATTTCTCTGTAGTTCTACAGTGTTCAGAAAATCATATTAAAACAATTATATAAAATTTAAAATTTAGTTGTACAATACAACTAAATTATTATTAATTATTATTAATTATTATTAATTATGTAAAAATTATACGCAAAAGTTTTATTAATTTTTATTTTGTTCAGAATTATGGTTTCACAATTTACAACCCAATGCATTCTTAATTAGATTTCAAATATGATACTTCAAATAAAAAATAATTTGTGACGTATTTTATTCAAACTCATATCTTGGTTAATGTTTAAAATCTGTATTTTATTGAGTTTTGAAACACACATGCGATTTCTTCATAACTGTATAATTTATTTTGGCCCCGGTAAATATAGTTTGTAGATACAACTGTATAATCAACGCCGTATTTACAATAAGAATCACCAGCACATAGAAACTATCGAAATCAGTCGAGAGACGTGAACGTTTCTTTAGCTTGTATAAACATTATGTTGTGCGACATACGACCAATCTTTCATTTATGAATACAAGCGTGGTACGGAGTATAAACTCGAGGAAGATATATGTATATACATCACGCGCTGTCTAGCGTATCTTTCAATTTTAAAGAGCTCTAAATTTTTATTATACGCAAACAAAAAAAATCACAAAATTTTATCTACGGATTTGAACAGTAAATTTCTTCACATTTTATTCAAGCAAATAGATATAGGAAAAAAATATAAAATAGACAGAAAATAAAGAATAAATAGATTAGATAGAAAAAAGATAAAATAATAGATATAGAGTCGCGAAGACAAAATAGTGAAAGAAAAAACCGCGGAATTTTGAAATCAGTAATCAAATAATAAAATAATAGGCTAATATTATAAAATCATTGAAAGAATTAGATTTATGTTGTAAAATGGATTTCAAGAAAGATGGTTTAAATCGAAACACTACGTTATATATCGAATAATTTAATAAAAGTAAAAAATAACTTTAAACCTTCTATACCTAATCAGCAGCGATATCTAGCAAAAATTGCTTTTGTTTTACAAAACATTAAGGAAAAACGTACTGTTTTATAAAAAGTATATTGTATCAAAAATCTTCGCGTCTAATTTAGGTGCGTTCCAATTGCTTCTCGCATGACAAACACGTAATTACAATATTACGTATCATTAAAAATAAAAAAAAAACAGATTTATTTAATCCGCACATATTTACATTGTCAGTCTCGTAATTATAATTCTGAATAACGACCTGCGTAATGATGCCTTTCTCCTTCGCAGAAATCATTACACAGACATAAACATCTGTAAAAACATCGAAGATCGGTGCATCTGTGTAAATGAACAAAGTGTGGCATAATTATTTCGTGGTGTAGAAATCGCTTGTCAAATAGAAATAGAATTTTTGTCGTCGAGCAATTAAGGCGCTAGTCTTATTTAAGCGCACGTCGCGAATTACACGTCGCAGAGAAGCGGCGGAAACGAGCCCTTTAATCCGCCAATCGAAAATCGATAAGTTAAGATCGGGATATCGGCCGGCCAGTAAGTACCTAATAATCCTATAAATTACCAGGGACAGATAATTGAGTTAGGCGAACGAGCGTCCCTAATTGATTGAAGTCATCCGCCAGCGACGCCCGGCGACGGCTCGTAGCGCGCGATTTGTCACACACGAGACCCGCGTTATTGAATCTTCCATGTACCAACGCGCGCTGACGATATAAGTGCGAAAGTGAATTAACCCAGAACTCCACTTTCACAATTGTGCCATACCTCGGACGTAGAGCTTACGAACTTCGTCGGGATGCGTTTCTCGCGCGCGCGTGAAGAACAACAATTGATACAGGAGCTCATTCACGTTTATCGCATTACTTCTCATTCTTATTGATATTCGTAAAATTAACAAATCTCTTTTGCGCGCGCTCACTTTCGCGCAAGATAATTACCTTGATTCTCAATTTCGCAGCGTAATTATCTTCGTTTAATTTAGTGACTAAATGTATTCTATTGCATTCAACCGCGTCTTTAACAGATGTAGGAAGTCATTATTATTATTACGGGTATAAAATTGCGCTTAAAATCATGGAAGGAAGACAGACGAGACGTCATTGGTTTGATATTTGGCCGGCGCACAATACCATTTTTCATTCATCGTCGTTTTGGCGAAGTTCCTTATCGGATGGGGCGCCGCGCAAAGTCGAGGCGAGCTTCGACTATTCCATTAGCGGCCAAAGACTCTTATCAGCCTAACGTGTTTCGGCGATCGAATTCCCGAGAGGTTGGCACATCAAATTTCTTTTTCCCCGAGAGCGAAGCTCTCGAGACCCGAATACGGGTGAATCGAAAATCCCGGAGCACACATGCCCGGTAATCCTACACCGGGTGAACGGGAACGTAGACACGGTCCATCTACGCCGTGACGGAGGAGGCTTGGGGCTTGGGTTACCCTTCATTGTGGTGTGCCCTTACGGAACGAGACACCGACGTTATCCACCATTGTAATCGGGCGTGTAGAGCAGCGTATACGAATTACGAAACCTGTGTATACGAGAGACCCTCCTTCAGCGAAACCGAAAATTTCTTAAGGCTTCTTCCGCCCGGATGCGCTTCCTTCGCGTTTCCTCCGCGGCCTTACATACAGGATGTTCGGTAATAGAGCGGTAATACGGCAATATTCGAAAGCTGAAATAATTTCCTTTTCTTATAAAGATGGGCGATTTCTGAGCACAAACAATTTAGAAAGAAATTTTCACGAGTTGCTGTTTTTAAGTGATCTTCACTGTTCATAAAATATTGAGGCACAGTTAACCAAATTTATAATGTAAAATAAAACAACGAGAAAATTAGCAAAAAATTTCAAAAGCCAAAATTATTTTTAACAAGAAATATTATCTTGTTCGCGTTTATTACCGAATATCCTGCTTCTCTTTAATGTGCGTGCGTATCTCCGTACACATCACATTTTATCTGCTGAAACATTGGATACGACGACTGCGTGTGTCACCAGCCTAATGCCTAAACGCAAAGAGTCGCTAATTCCAATTTAATATCGCTGACCATGACCCGAAACGAAAGCAGGAAGCAGGTCCATTTTTCTGCCTACCGGGCAGAAAATTTATCATATTGTGATACAACATCTTGATATTCCGCAATAAAGTCATGAAACTGACATGAGGAAGGTCAGTTATTTATCGCAATGACGGATCACTTTGCTGAATAACTGCTAAATCGTAGGTATAGATAAACGCACGTCGAATTGACAACTCAAGGAGCGACGAGATGTTTGCTTGCCTGTGAACAACTCGTTACTTACATTATAAATATACATGCGTTGATCTTATTCAATAATAAATCAGACTGATAGTAGGATAATAATTGATCCGTCGCGCGATACATATTATAGTGTAAAAACGATGTCTCATTGTCCGAGTATATATCATCGCTCCGTTAAAACGCGTCGAGTGCTACGTCGCGGCTGAACCTGTTAATAAACCGAATGAGTTTTACGTATCATTGCATGCGCTATAGCACATCGCGGTTTAAACGATGCGGTTTAAACGAGATTCTCTTGCGGTACCTCAGTTTAACGGATAACCACCGCAAGTCGTGTCGCCGAGATCCATTTCAAATATATACGCAAATGAGCTCACGTGTCGCGTTCGGAGGGATTTGCAAAATTTCGCAAAAAGCCGATGGTGGTCCAAAGTAAACATCCGATCGTCGGCGCCGAACATGCAGTACGCATATTTGCCCATTGACTGTGTATGTGTGTGTGTGTGTGTGTGTGGTATGTGTGTGTGTATGTGTGGCTGCATACCCGGTGCATTCACCCTATATCTATTCTACCATTATCCACTTGGATCCCGCCACCCACCCCCGCGGCTTCTACTTCCGCCCGTCGCGTATACTCGTAAAATAAATCGTATAATCGGATAACGAGAGCTGCCTCTTCGCAGCTCGGGCGAAAAACTCGCGATAACTCGATATCTCGGGCACGAATCATCTTGCCCGAGTCAACGTATACCTATATATCGGCTACTTGTATATCGATATCGCGCATTGAAATTGCGCCCGCCCGATCGCGGGGCAATCGTCCCAGGTATTCATGGACGAGACATTCATGCTGTGCAACGGTACTGCGAAGAATTATAACTTGATAACTGCGAGAAAGAGAGAATAAAGATTACGCCTCGGCTTATCTATTCATGTTTTTTAATTAAGTGGATTGAAGAGCTTGGGTGATATTAATTCTTCTCACATTTAAATACCTTTAATTAACATCTTCAATATTAATCTTCTGTTCCAGTAGAAGAAAATAATATAAAAAGACTTAAACTTTGTTTCATATACAATATTAGTAAAGTCATATATATTTTTAAAGTCCGACGATTAAGCGGCGCGCAGTTTGCATGAACTAAAAGAATTGTAAGATTTATATATAAGATTTTCAAGCACTATAAGAGTCTCTTTGGATCGTGTTGGCATTTTCGTATCTCAATATATATTATTGTTATGATTTGTTTATGCCATTAACTCCTCTCTCTCTCTCTCTCTCTCTCTCTCTCTCTCTCTCTCTCTCTCTCTCTCTACAAAAAAATCTCTGAGTTTTTAATTACTTATACAATTATCAATATTTCATTATTTTTTTCCATCAATAGAAACTGCTGATTCTAAAGTTCAAGTTTGACATACGATCTAAATTAAGCATGAGTACCGTAAATCCAGGACGTTATGTGATATGTAGACACGTCTAAACTCTTATTGGTCGCGGCTAACTGGAACCGATAATTGCCAGCATCTTGATCTCTATTCTATGATCTCGTTTCCAACGGCACTTTTTACATCGACATCACCGATGAGGCGTTATCAGAGAATGCGCGCCCAAAGAGAAAAAGAGTACTTTGACCCGTTATCAATACTCGACGATTACGCCGGTCATTGACACTGGAATCCGTTACTTGCAGTCGTGCGCTGGATGCCGGAATCCTGCACGCCCGCGGCCTGCAGTGCGTAAGCCAAAGTAATTTGAAGAAAACTGACTGGCGAAATATAAGGAAACTCTTAAAACTCTATATGTTGATGCAGGATGACGAGAACCTCCGCGGGATCACAGCGCGCAAGAGAATAATCTGCACATATACTGCCGTCTGTCTTCATTTTCATTTTCAACACGTTTCGCCTTTATTTCGAGATTAGCGCCGCGAAATGGCCACTCCTCGTTGATCCGTCCCCGCGAGTTCTCGCGATTTTTTTTCAATCGCGCGTGCAGCACATCGTGCAACAATAGCGCGTATCTCGACGGTAAACATAGCTTTTCCATTATCGTCGGTACGGGGTATATGCGCCACGCGCGCCATAGAGAGTACCTCGTCCCGTTCCAGATTCTATCCGCCGCGGCGGGCCGCGATACCGCCGTTTAATGTCTGACCCGCATTCCGTCAGGCAGCCTGAAATTTCGCTCTGTCCACAACCTCTTCGTCCCCGTCTCTTCTTCCGCATCGCATCGCCTCCCGGTACGCAGCAGCATCAGCAGCCGGTTCGCGCGCATGCACGCCTCTCGCGCGTCTCCGCACCACCGATCCGGCTCCACGTCTCTCGTCGTCTCGCCGAGACCGCCGCGCTCGAGCGGAATATCTTTGCGCGTTCGCGGATGGCGCCGCGAAAATATTGCTATTCCGCAGCCGAAGAGACGCCCGCACGAGCATACGTGACGAACCTCGCGATGCGAACGATGCGGCTGTGCTGGAATCTTTCCCTCCTACATGTGTGCTCGCAGAACGCTGCAGGACACCTTAATGGAGCGCAGACAGACTGATGACTCCGGCTTAGAATTTATTGCCTGAAGAAATACCCGTCTTGAAATCGCGACGCGTTGCATGCCACTCTGCACACTTTCGTGAGCGATTTATATCCGAGCCAAGAGTAACATATGAAATAAAATGTATACGAGTAAAAATTACGCACTCGATACGTTTTTGCATTTTAAATTTCCTCTCTTTGCATTAACTGATAGACGATATTAATGCGTATCAATTTTCAATGCTTTTAACGTCGACGAAACGCGAATTATTGACAAAAAGTAACACGAATGAGAGAAAAGTCAGATTTTTATAAAATATATGTATATTGATACGATATATCAACAAGAGTGAATTCTATTCTGGTAACGCGACTTGATTTAATAACGCGGAATAAAAAACCATTTTATCACGTTATTTTGAAGGAAGAAAAAATAAAAAAGGCAGAATAAAACTGAAAAGAATTTTTAAGCGCGCTATAATATTATATTAAATAAAATTAAATTATTAAATATTGCTTTCTGTGTTTATTATCGATATTTTTTTTTCTGAACTTATTAAAATCGATCTCTGTAAGTACAATATGTATAATACAAATTGTCTGAAATGTTAGAAAAAAGTAAGAAAGCAGTAGAGTATACAATGATAATTTTGAATAAATAAATTTCTTATGAATCAATCACTTTCTTATTTTTTTCCTAGCAGTTTCTTTAAAAAATAAAACAGTAGAGTATTAAATAATAATTGAATAAATCAATTATCATTTAATACTGTACTACTTTCTTATTTTTTTTCTAACATTTAAGGATAACGATCTATTTTATTACGTACTGTATTTACGGAGATCGATTTCCAATAAGTTATATTAAGAACACAAAATATCGATAGTAAACACAGAAAGAAATATTTAATAATTTACGAAAACTTTAATTTAAGACGTGCGAATGCACAACGAGCAAAAAAGTAATAGAATATTAAATGATAATTGATACATTCAATTGTTATCTAATACTCTACTATTTTCTTGCTTGTGTTCTTAAAATAAAATCTCGTTTTCGTAATGCATTACGCTTTATTCTGGATGCACTTTAGTTGGCGCCAGAAAGAAGAAATCCGATAAGAACGTCGTTGCGTGGCGCCGCTTAATAAAACGTTATCGGGATAAAGCTCCAATCACTCTATCTCGTAGCATGTCATTGATTTATGCCACGTTGACATAACAGAAGAATAACAACGTGAATTGCACCCGAATGTGTCTACACTCGAATAATTATCAATAATGAGCGCGCGACATTTGTCTATCAGACGTCGAGACGTTAAATACTTTGATTATACAGGTCGCACGTTGAACGTCACTTCGTAACGCTTTAGCGCGGCAAGAGATATGTTACGCAATATCATTACGAAATTAGCACATCCTACACAGTTATTTCTCAAAGTGTCATGTCTTAAGCATGTTAAAAATCTATTTTTAGACCGTTTGTTTTCTGTCTTTCCTAAAATTTCAACCGAGCGCTACATTTGCCTCGGCAGTATACCTGTTTTCCCTGTGTGTAGCAAGAAGAATTATTGCGTTTAAGTGTGTTTATAGAAATAGATTTTTTTTCCCCTCCGACTAATGGTATCGCTGATCAAACGATGTGACATCATTTTGTTTTATAGACACGAAGAATTTTATCTCCTCATGCGAAATACGTCTGATAAGCATAACTCTCGAAAATTCGAAACATCAGGTATTGGATTATATTCTGTTTAAGCGTTTGTAGAGAGAAATAGATTTTACTTCGATAAACGGTGTCATTAATCATGCGAATATGACGTTCATAAACGAGAAACATAAATATGTTTTGTATTTACAAACGTGAGGAATTTTATTTTCTAACACAATCCGCTGATAACGAGCTGATAACTCATCTCCGAAACATCAGATATTCAATATATTTGTAACTGTCGGTTGAATAATTTTTTTTACGCACGACTGTAACAGCTTACATAATCAATATTTGTCACGAGTCAATTTAAATTGCAACAAATATAAGCGTGTCTGCAACTAGCATCTAAAACTTCTAACTCGCACCTATACTCATAATTGAACCAGGAAAATGTCGATCGAATTCGTCCCGGTGATTATTACCTTGAAACTCGATTCTGCTGAACGAAGTGACAGAGCGATATGCTCGCCGGCCACTCGATCGACATTGTTGGACTATTGCCGATCGTGCGACACGGGCGTGTGTGTTTTCCCGTTGTCATGTCGCTGGCGCGAATTATCACGAGAAATTTTGTCCTCGCCTCTCGTGGATAAAAAGACGGTTCACGCTCGGGCAAATAACTTTCTCTTTCGTTAACGATCGTCGGAACGTCGCGCCCGCGAGGCGTCGTTCTTAATGAACGCGAGGGACGCCGCAATTGCATTTAAAAGGCGGAGCAAATAGATTGCACATTGTAATGTATTCGCAAAAACTCTCTCGTCAAAGCAGCGACCACTTAGATTTAGCATAAATTAGAGTTTAAAGCGAGAAAACAAGCGGAACTAACTAGTCGACAATCGGTCGCAAGATCGATACGATCGGTTACGATAGTTATCGCGTTTTCGCATACTTCGAATTTCGTTAAACGCATTCCTGGCCTGAAAGTGAATGCTCGCGATTACCGCGCTCAATTTTTCGACGCGCGAGATGAGATTTTTGGCAGCTCGAGACGAATCGACGAATTATGAATAATCTATCTGTCATTTTACGAGACCGAGCGACCGCCTTTCTCATACGTCCCACGTGACGGTCATTGCCGGCAATTATCGCCTAACTACATGTAACGACGTAGAGTAATGTCAAGGACGCGAGGCACAAAGCACATTGCCTAATTGAAGGGTTCGGCAACGGCCCAGTGACGTTCAAAGAAACTCGAAGTAGCGGCAAAGCTCATGGGCTGGGCATTACTTAACGTGGCAAACATATCACTTAACGTCAGCTGGCGGCCGAATATGTGTTACACGTGTGAGCGCATTATTATCATCGTTTAATGGCAGCCAAACGAGCAAATAATAATTTATTTGATGTATCATTGAGGGGTTCAGTGTACCCCATTTTCCACTACTGCGACCATTGTCGTCAGTTATCACGCTTCTGCGTAGCCTCTTACGAATATCCGCTGATTTCATTCGCGCAGCTTCGTCGAGAGAAGTTCGATAAGGAGCAGCGTAGTGATTCTGATAGTGACAGTGGTAATCAAAATTATGCGGTTATTTTTAAAATTCGAAAGAGTTATACACAGAAAAATGCACGTTCCTCGTGTTTGCAAATTTGGAAAAAATACTGTGAATTAGTGATTCTATCGAGACCAGGATCTCTCTCAGGCATCAGTTTCAATTATTTTATCAATTAAAGATTGACAAAAATTAAGAATTGAAGACAAAGAAAACACGCGCGCGTTAGAATAAAATATTTAACTGAATAATAAAATATTTAACGCAAATGCGAGACTTTTGAAGATTTGCGTTATCGCGGACGCGCGCGATTATCAGCGATACGAAAACCTAGTCTTTAATAATAATGTGATGGATTTATGATAATGACAGCGCGATTAGTTTTCAACGCGACGATAACGCGATGTTGTATAAAGCTGTCGCATTTATGTGTGTCGCGACATTTGCCGCCGTGAAAACACGCGACACAAATTCACAATGACAAAATGTGCCTCAAACAGCGTAGGCAGGAACCGTCGCAATCGCATTCTCAGTCGAAGTCAAGCTGAAGCTAAAGATTCCGTGACAAATGTAATTTTTCGTAGATTCAAGATAATTAATTAAATGCGAGGCTGAGATCCCAACTGATAATGTTATGACATTAATTAGCTCCGTAAAATCTTTCTTGAATTATATATACGTATGTTGATTAACGTATCGTAATAATTGTAATTAGACAATATTTTTAATAATTATCAATTTCTGGCGATTGCGACGCTTTTATCTTACGCAAAAAAAAACATGACCTTATTCCCGAAATAAATTTAGTCTCATTCGGCATTCAACGATTTGTTTTCTCTTAAATGACGAATCCATTTCATAATAGCAAAAAGTTCATTCCTTTCTCTTCCTCGAGATCCCGTGAGTTTCCGATGCCGCAGGAATTCACACGTCGACACGATCTCGGCGCAAAAAGTACATAGCACGTTTATCAAAGTGAAATGTCAATAATTCCGATCTGTGTATAAAGAAGTACTATGATAATATATGTGATATCGTCATGCCTCGATGGTTGCACGTACATGCTATTATTCGGGTATCAAAAATAACTGCTATCGCCGATCAATATACCATCCATAACACGCTCTCGAAACTACAGTGCCGAGTTCGCAAGCATAATCAGTACATGATACAGTAACATGTGACCGATAAGAAATCCGGTTTACTCCACAAGTTAAACCAACAAGTGTTTTTCCACTTTTGAATAAACATATTACTTGAAAATTATTATTCAAAAAAATATGCTGCAAATTTGAAATTAAAAACGATGCTAGAAAACAATCGATAATTAGCGCGATAACGAACGATACTTCGCGCTTTTGCACAATTGGGTTAATTAAATAATATAATATTATCTAAATAATTGTGTCAAAATTATCGAATAATCAAAACGGAATAGCTGAACTCTTTAAATAGCTACGGTCTTAAGATGTAATAACTAATAATTTTAGCAATTTTGACACATATAAAATATGTTATCATAAATATATAATTATATTTTTGTATCATACATTATAAACTATCTACACATCTTTCAAAGCGAGGAAAAATATAGTTATTTTGAAATATCTTTCAACTATAATAATATATCTTTTTATTCATTTCATTTACATGTAATTTATGCAACCAATGATTCTTGAAACGATAAAATAGTAACATGAGCAACACCATGGGTATTTCCCTTTTATCCTTTCTAATCTCTACTTTAAAAACCACAATGTGCACAAATAATGCAGTAAAGAGATTATTTAGTCGAGTAAGAAGTAACAGCTGAGAACGATTACTTATTCTATTAAGAAATTTTAAACGGAATTGACGATATATAGCGATCGTAGTAAATGCATCTCACTGATTGCAAGGTCAAGCGTGTTCATTACTTTTAATAATTTGTAGGCAACAACTATATATAGGCTCTCGATTATGGTCGCCGGTGATTGATAACGTAATCGTCTTGCGCGAAACTCTTTTCCCGGACGGGCACGTCACGTCTCGCAGAGTGGAATTTACCGGTCCAAGGGAATCCACGCGGAAGAAAGAGATCGAGCGCGGCGTGCGACTGATCGCAAGTGACGATTGCGCGAGTGGCTGGTGTCGCGTGCAAGGGCGGCCGCAAATTTCGTTAAATACTACAAAGTCTACTTGGAGGAATCGTCCAATCTCTTAGATTCAAGTTGGAGAACGGAAAACCAGTCGTTCTCCTCAGCTCGCCGGAGGCATTACTTAGAGACGGCGGAGGTTCGCGCAGCCGCTCTCCCACGTTTCGCGATCGGGACCAATGTGCCGACAGATTTATCGATCATCGACACACGAGCCATCCACTTGTCATTCGTCGTGATATTCGTCGTGATCGAGTGGATGTTACTCGTTGCGCTGCACAATTGTAATCGAAATCAAGGTATCATTTTTTTTATGTCAGCAGTGATAATTTGTATCGTCTAAATTTGAACTTTAATCTCTATAACTTGCGTTTGGTAAATCGATTCTTTTCTTTCAACAGCAATTAACAAGATAATAATACTAATATATCAGAATAAAAAATTTCGTCAATTGTTACAGACGATCTATTTCTATTTCCTTTTTCTTTTTATCTTAAGTATCTTGAGATAAAAACTGCTATACACGCAATACACTTTCTCATAAAATTATTGAGGAATTTAATTTTTATTGCACAATGGAAAAATGAACGTACTGATTTTTAAATAATTTGACAGATTGCAATTAGATCAAAGAGTAGTAAAAGTATAGACATCAGACATTTTATTGCAAAATGTGTTATGCAAAAAGGTCAAATATAATTTGCAACGTGATTATAGTAGCATACGAAACGAAAATGGCTATTCCATTGCAGATATAACAGATAGATTTCTTTAATCATTGTGTGTAAATAATTGTAAATTAAAAATTTTTTCTTTTACACCGAAACAAATAATGTATTAACATCATTGGATCTAATCTAATGTGTTTATAATAAGAAATCTTGCTAACTTAATAATTAATGTTAAGTTGGACTGCCATTTCACTTGATCAATAGAGAAATTATTAATCTCCATGTGTTAATTTTTTTAAATATTTCTAAGCAAGATTGTCATTTTATTTATTAACAGAAGTTTTATTTTACTTATTTATCAAATAAATATTAATATGATCGTTCTTGAATTTTATTTATATAATATGTGCGTGTGTCTATTATCGTATATATAATGTAAATCTCCGCAATCTCTCTTTTATTTTCGCAATTCAAGTACGCTGAATAATTTACATCTGCAAATGTCCTTTCAGCGTATGCGACATCTAACTCGAGGACGATCAGCGATTTAAATAGCCGCGATACTCGGCACAAGATATTCAAATAAGTGTCCCGACTGTGATCCCAGCGATCGGCCGAGATGGCGAGCGTGGACAAGGATCTCGAGGAGCTCATGTCTCACCTGGGTGAATTCGGCAAATATCAATTCCGACAGTACTGCTTTCACTTAATGGCCGCCCTTACGGCCGGGGTGCACATGCTGTCTCTATTGACAGTCGCGGCGATACCGGCGCATCAGTGTGACATCCCGAAAGCGAACGTGTCGTCCGTCCTGACCAGGGAGCTGTTCAATTTCACCGCTCACAACTGGGACAACTCGTCGGACGTGCTGGAACATCTTCCACGTCGTTTGGACAGCTGCCACTATCTGGACCACGACAACGTCACCCGCGAATGCGACTCGTGGACCTACGACACAACGTACTTCCAGTCGTCCCGCGGCATGGAGTGGAACTTCGTTTGCTCGCGACGCTGGATGGGCGCCGTGGCGCAATCCTCGTACATGTTCGGCGTGTTCGCGGGCGCGGTCACCCTCGGCAGCATGGCAGACAAGTACGGCAGGAAGATCATATTCTACGTGTCCGCCGTGGCACAGCTACTGCTCGGAGTAGTGGTCGCCCTGGTGAACAACTACTACGTCTTCCTGGTAATACGCTTCCTGTACGGTATCTTCGGCTCCGCCGGCGCGTACATCACCGGATTCGTGCTGACGATGGAGCTGGTGGGTTCGTCGAAGAGGACCGTGTGCGGCATACTGTTCCAATTGGCCTTCGCCATGGGCTTTATGCTGGTGGCTGTGTGGGGCGTCGTGATCAAGGATCGCATGTGGCTGCAGATCGTATACGGTTTGCACAGCGCGATTCTGCTCGGCCACTGGTGGCTGATGGACGAGTCGCCCAGGTGGCTGTGGGCGCACGGTCGCGCCACCGAGGCGATCATCATCGTGCAGAAGGCCTTGAAGGTGAACGGCAGCAACGTCAACGTGGACGCCGGCAGGCTGATCGGCAAATCGAAGTTGCAGCAGGAGACCAAGGAGGAGACATCGCACGGCGCGCTGGATCTCTTCAGGACGCCGAATCTCCGCAAGAAGAGTCTGAACATCTGCCTCAACTGGTTCGCCAACTCGATCGCCTATTACGGACTGGCGCTCAACATGGGCAATCTCGTTGGCAATCCGTTTCTCATGCTGTTCCTCAGCGGCGTGCTGGAGATGCCGTCGTACATTTTAATCATATTCATCATGGACCGCACCGGCAGGAGGTGCCTGATCAGCACGTTCATGATGATAGGCAGCGTGTGCTGCATCTGCGCCGCCGTCATCACCGGCACGACCGGACACTTGGCGGCCGTGGCGACGGTCACGATAGTGCTCGTGGGCAAGAGCTGCATCGCCGGCTCGTTCGCCGTGGTATACAACTACACGGCCGAGCTGTTCCCCACGGTGGTGAGGAATACGGCGCTCGGCATCGGCTCCATGTGCGCGCGTCTCAGCGCCGCTCTCACGCCCATGATCTTTCTGCTGGACTCGCTGGACCCGCGGGTACCAGCCACCCTCTTCGGCTTCATCGCCCTGGTGGCGGGCTTCCTGGCGCTCTATCTGCCGGAGACGGTGAACCAACCGATGCCGGAGACCATCGAGGACGGCGAGAACTTTGGTAAAGGTGACACCTGCTTCACCAGCTGCATAGGCGGAAGCGCGAAAGCCGCCGCGAGCGATCGCGACATCACGATGGACAAGATACGCGAGAATGACGAGAATGAAAAGCTGAATTATACATAACGCTCATATAGCTTTATAGAAAATTCAAGTGCGTTTAACTAGTACTTATAGTTAATGCTATAGTTAATGTGCTGAGAAAGAAACAAATGTGCCTTGGTCTCGATATCCTCAAAAGTCATTGCATAGATTCGCTGGTAGAGATACCCAGAGACTTAAAAATACTTATTGTTAAAGATTAGCCTAGCTAAATAATACGCACAACTCATCATTGAAAAATAGAAACAATTATATCATGTACAAAGTAAATAAGAAAGTTACTTCTTAGAATTGCATATAAATATAAAAAATTTTATACAGTTAATAATATATTTGGTACTCTATTTTTATGGAAAAAATACAAATTTTTAATCTGAAATTTAATAATAATAATACATATTTACGCAATAAGGATAATATTTTTGATACATATATATAATATAAAAGCAGTTTCTATTTTATAAAATTATCGATATAATTTTGTCGATTAGATTTATACAGTAATGCTATTTATATTTCACCATAACCAAATGATTTTCATTTTTATAAAACTATACACGTGTATAGGAAACATTCAATCGTGCCTTTAAAACTTAGGATACAAAATTATTTAAACGTAAAATAATCAAGTAGTTAGTAAAAATATTCAAATACACTTTTACAAAAAAAATGAACTTATTAGACGATTACTTTTCCCCTATCAAAACTCTATTTTATACAGAATTATCATTGGGTTTTCATTATACGTGAATGTTTAGTGATCAAGAAGATTTTAATTTCATGAGTAAGCAATTTCCGCGGTAGAAATGATTAAAGGTTCAAGCGCTACCGTGTTTCCTCTCACCGTAAAATTCTTCTTATGAGATGCTGTAATAATTTGAGAGAGTAAGAGAGGGAGGGAGAGAGAGAGAGAGAGAGAGAGAGAGAGAGAGAAGTCAACGAGGGAATAAATTTGTTGACATCCGACTTATCTCGCTACTTTCGGCGAAATGAACTAGGCGAGGAAAGTTTGAGGGTTGTGCGAGATAACGGAAAGAACGCAGGGCGCTCTACAGCGCACTATGATCCTAATGGCGAGGATGCAATTCAGAGAGAATCTTCCGGAGAAGGAGGACGCGGGAAATCCTCTGCCCTGATGAAACCGCCAACTCACTCCTCTCCTCCTAGCTAATGGAAAAACTTTGTCGCCCGGCCCAACGCTTTTCCAATCATAAAGTTTGAAAAATGGTCACATTGGTTATCCGCAGATTTTTTTTTGCCATAGAATTAACGATGGTAGGAAAAGCCCTGTCTCTCTCTCTCTCTCTCTCTGGTGAATTTTGTAAAATTCTCAATTCGGACACTTCAACTTCCCACAAAGAGACATATGATCCATATTCAGTTTATTTATGACTAATATTGTCATAACGTATTGTACAAGTTGTAACTTTATTATGAAATTTATTTTGCGTGACAGAAAGTTTTAAATATACTTCCGTTATTTATTTTTCATTTAAATACTTTTATTGGATCATTTTCAACGGCATCATAATCATTCAGGTAGAACGATATTGTGCAAATGAAATTCGAAAGCTTGTCGAGTTGTCGAAGATTAAATTGAATTAATAAGTCAAGCGAATTGATCCTGATTTTAGTCGATTCGCGTGTTAAACGTTATTTATTAATAAATTAAAAGTCAATTACATCATAAAGTGATAAAAATAATGACTGAACGACGTAAATTTATCCTCGTAAATCCCGTGCCAAAATGTACCGTGCATCACTAAGCTAAGCAATAACTAAGATATAATGCGCCTCCCCCCGAAGTTTCTGATCCTCAATGTCACGCCGGGCTTCCGCGCTTCATGAGATTCACCGGTGAATTTTGCAGATGCGCTCGTTATTCGAGGAAAGCTACATCCCGTGGCGTTACAACTTATATACTTAAAATTTATGCGCACGTTACGACGCAACGGTTGACAAGTTTTTATCTCCCTGGTTGTCCGACGATTAAAAATAACCACCACCGAGCAAACCGCTCGTGCAACGCTGGCCGCGCATAACTCCCTTTCGACAATACGGCGCGGCAATACGAATTAATATAATTAATGGAACGTTTAACGCGATCGATATATGCATCATCAATTACTTTTATGCGAAATGCGAAATTAGTGCGGTATTGTAACGCTTCCGCGCGCCTGTGAATTCCCGAAATTCCACACGCGCATATAACGTCGCCGGTGTCGGCAGGATTAAATTGTGCTGTGCAGCTCTAAACTATAATCTTAAAATTCTACCAACTAAATTGGAAGTACTGTTAAATTAAAACTTATAAAAAATAGAATTTTTAAATAAATCTTTAAAACGTTCTATATCATACATGTTGAGTGTTCCGCGAATAACTTGAGTGTGTTTTTTTGATAGATATTGTTAACAAATCTCAGTGCAAGTGCAGCATAGCAGCAACTTGAAATTTCATGAATTCTTTAAGAAAACAATTAACGAAGCGATACGCTTCTGTCACTCGTCTATTATAGACAAAGCATTTAAAAGAAATCTATAGAAAAACGAAAGGAAATACATCTGATTCTTTATTCGTTCATCTATAGATACGCATCTAGAAAAAATCTGGGAGAATGCATTTCGGTTAAATGTGTCCGAGAACATTTCGGGAAGTAGGACGTGCCCCACGGAAAAATGGAGCAACTCCTCGCGACTGTGCGAGCCGCAAAGCCTTCAATTTATATATGTAAATCCGTCCCTGACGATCGTAACACTCACCTGCGTCTGCGTTATCGAACGCGTACTGCGGGTCCATGCGCGAGTGATGCTGGAGCCTGGGATGTAGGTACACGGGGACACACGGTGACAGGGAGCGCGCGTCGCCTACTGAACTCTCGCAGCTCGCTCTGTTCTCGCCCATTAAATCGTAGAAAACGTTGCACCAGCGCGCGCAACTCTGTCAAACACGGTGCGACCGCCGCCGCAAATTCGATCTCCCGTAGGATTGGATCGCGGAAGTGCTCGTCGTTGCTCCAAGCCCGTGCGTCCAAATAGAAGATCGCGAAATGCGAGAGGGTTGAGCTCCCTGCAATCAATAACGATCGAATAGCTTCGAAGCTGTTAGTTCAAGTTAATTGAAGTCCTCCGATCCTCCCCGATCGCCCTGCGTCGAGATTGACTTCTGCGCATATAGTGATCTACAATATCTTCAACCCCCGTAAACTTGGCAAATAGTTTCCCTGAATAGTTCGCAAACAACATTTCTCTGGAATTTTCGTAAAATTCTTTAAATAATCAATAAGGAATAACTGTCGCATATTACGATAGACATATATATATATATATATATATATATATATATATACATATATATATATATAATCTTATTTATAATAACAATTATCCAAATAATTTATAATTCTCTCTGGAGACCAATATCGTTATTCAATACAATAAATCTAGAATTCTGACTGTAATAAACATGAGATATACGTCTTTGGAAAAATATACGTAACAATTAATACTTTTTCTAATTTATACGCTTTTTCAGAGGCAGTTTTTCAAACAGATATTAATTTCAAGTTTTTATTTCCTAAACAAAGTCCGGCGGACACGCTGTCATTTCACTTGAATGAATAGGAACTTTTTATTGCGCTTTCATATCTCTCTCTCTTCGCGACAATTGTGACAGAGCTCTTTTCTCGAGACAATTGAAAAGCAAGCGATCGATTTAATATGCACGAAGCGGATTTCGTTGAGACCTTAGTTTATATCTTGCACGGAATTTACAACAACAATTTGTATCTTCAAAATAAGAAGCTGATTGATCATAAAAGAAATAATTGTCTAATCAAAGCTAGCCATCTTGGCAATCCAAGTTCAATCAAATTGATCGAACAAATTACATTAACTGTTAATGCAATATTAAATCTTAATACAAAACTTTAATACAATCTTAATTACATTAATAATCGTATTCATTACACCAGTTAAATGTCTGATGTATAAATTAACTACAAAATATTTTTTTACTTTTTGTTTGATTATTTTTCAGCCTGTATATCGTATTAAAGTCTGATATATTCGTGCATTATTTTGCATATCATGATGAATTCTCTCGCAAAATTCCCTCACAAGGAGATGGTCACGATTTAATTATCGCCACCAGACTTTAATTAAATTGATACCATCTTCGGATGCACCGTAAAACAGTTGGACGTGTCCTAATTGCAAATTCCCGGTGACTTGTTTACAACCACCGAGGATGCAACACAACACGTCATACAAATCCTTCTAATTAGAAAAGGCATGCGAATCATCATTTGTTTCTGAGCGGAGATTGAGAATGTTCCGAATAGCGAGCAAAGACCAAGAAAAATTAATTAAACGATCTTTTTGTATTGGTGAAAGTCTTAAAACACTTCAAGTTTATCTTATTCTTTTTCTTAAAGTAATTTCTCCTTTATGAAAACTACAGCAGGATATAAATCCAATGGCGCATTTCTGCATTTAATCAAACATTAATTATCGCATTTTGAAGTTTGTCATTAGAAAATCTTCCCGTTTTATGTGCGATCTGAGTCTCCTTATCGTTAAAATTATATTCTTTACAAAGATAAAAGACTATAATTAAGATTTTTAAGAAGTGTCATTATAATTTCGTAATTATAAAGAAAAAAATTAAGAATAATTATTTTCCTTTTTACTTTTTTTTCTTAGTAATCATGTAAATCTGTTGGAAATTCACGGAATTTAAGGGATTAAATATTTTCAACTGCATTAACATCCATAATCTACTACATAAAGTGTAAGTCCAGTCTGTTATAATTTATGTGCGCTACATACTAATTACGGAAATACACGCACGATAAGCTAATGAGAAATATGGTCGTACTCGATGTAAGAGAGGGGAATCCGTGAATCTCGTTTAATTACTGCGTATTAATCAACCTCTTTTTACGACTTTTTAGTTACGTCACGTACGTACATAACTTTCGTGATAATCGATGTGATGATCTCTTAGAATCGAATGACAAACAGAAGAGAGAATGATGAAGAATACTCATCGATATATTGCAATACTCATCAATTTATTTTAACACGTTGATAAAATATATATTGGATATTTATCTACATATACACAAAAATTATCCCAGAGATCTCGATCTTAATTTCAACTAAATTCACGAGTTAAACTAAGAAGAAAGATTTATTTTCTTTCTGAAGGAAAATTTTCGACGGTCATTTTCGTTCTGTATACCTAATGTTCTGACATAAGGTAATTGACTTTTGCGAAAGCGAAAGTCCGATGCAAATATTTCAGCAAGTTTCATTAATCAATTATAGCACATGAATTTAATTCGCGAGAGAAGATTCTTGTTTTAAATCCTGCAGTGGACCGAAGATTTTTGACGTCTTCGTAACGTGGAAGATCGACTGAAAATCGCGCCGGCTAGGAATCTCCGTGGTGAAGATCGAGATCTCGGGAATACCTCGCGCACGAGTGTGTATACATCGCACCTCTTTTCGACGTCGCATTAATACCTATTGGTGGATGCAGTCGTAACGGTAACTTCGCGCAAATACGAATACCTCTCGATTACCCCAATCACTCGGGAGGATTTGTACTCTATAGTAATACAAGAATGTACATTCGCCGCTCGTCTCTGAGTTCGTCGAGTTCATCGATCAGGCCAGCACGATGCGCGGCATGCGCGCCATTCTCGGATCGTTATAATTTCATCTTCCGCAGCTTCTTCATCGTTATAGCGGCTTCGGTAATTACAAGCGGCTCCGATCGCCGTTTTTCCGCGGCGGAGAAACGACTACAAGCGCGTCATCATGAAATATTACAACGCGCGGCGTGCTTAATGACGAACTACATCGACTATGGCATGTCCACGTTACTAGGTAATTAATGGAATGAATATAACGCGCACTCGGCAGCATCAGCGGCAGCGTATAGCCGCTAAATCACACACGCATCTTTTATACTCCTTTTTCCACTTCCGCCGAAATAGCACCGCGAGCGCGATTATTTAACGTTTGGACGAGCAGAGTTAGCTACAATCGCGAATCTAATCTTAACACGAAATAATTGATGTACCAATTGAATTCGTTTTACTTTAAGCGACGTTGTTGCACTTCCTCTTTTTAAAGTATATTAAAGTATTAAACTGTGAGTAATTTAAAAGAATTATATACAAGCAGATAAAAACTAGCACAAGAATTTACCAGCGACAAAATTTAGAGCCGACTCCGAAAATAAGTTTTCTTTTCAAAAACTTACTCAAATCTGGCAGATTAAATAAAGTACAAATTTTATAATGAATATTTAAGATAAACTTTTATAATACGTACCGATTTTTCGACCGGAATTATTATCCACATGTAAAAAAGCAGGGAAAACGTATATTTCTTATTGCAAATGTCGCGCGTATTCGGCCAATGTACACAGACACGTGATCGATGGTTATAAATTGTTGAAGAAGGCACATTGTCAGACTCGTTTAAAACATATCCATGGCAATTTAGTCCTTCTTGCACTTTCCTAGGCAACAAGACAAGGCCTCGCGTATATGTAAATATTTAAAATAAAGAAATTTTCGCGCATAATATTCAGTATAACTACATATCTAACGATTATTGCTGTGAAGACTAGCGGCAGCATCTATTCTTCGGCATCCTCGGCATCTAAGATACTCTTGAAGTAAAATGGTTGGAAGGGCTGTCCTAAGCCCTCGTAGAATTTACTCATAAATTCGACCCTGAAGCATAAAAATTACAGAGTAAATAATAGAGAACAACACGATGTATAATAATAAAAATGCCTTAATTCTCTAGGTGTTATTTTAGCGCTCCACTATTAGTAAATAAATTGACAGAAGAGTTAAAAACACATGAAAACAATTAAAAATAATTATTATTGAACAAAATCGTTGGATTTTTAATCCGCACTTTTGTCTCACTTAAAAAATGACTTTCTATTCTCTTTTCAAAAAGCTTTAAATTCCCTTAACTTCATTTAAAATTTTATCTTTATAAAAAAAGCATAGATTATTTTTTTAAACTACTTAGTACTTACCAATGAAGTCGAAGCGTATGAAGAAATGCCGAGAGGCCCTCCATCAAGACGAGAATGACGACGGTGAAGAAGGCCCAGACCGCGAACACGGCGAACAGGATAATACTGCTGACATACTGACCGTCCTCGGCGCCTAAGCCTATCCGCAGCACTCTGTTCCAGAGCACTTCCGACAGCTGAGAGTGGGCCAACGACAGGGCCCACAATCGCAGGTAGGAGGCAGTGTGCGAGACGGTGGACAAAACGTATTCTATGGTGTGGATGATTTGATGGATCATCAGCTCGCCGAAGCTGTCGTCCGCGTGACCATGATCGTCCGCTGCATCCTTGCTGGTCCCCGCGCTCGGCAATTCTTGAGCCTGTAACTCGATGTCCTGCGACGTGCTCCCGTTACTCTATAGACAAACAGTAACGCACAGTGCGCAACGTTCAGCGAGCCAGCCAATTTCATTTCGTATTCGCGATTAAATACAGAACGTTAATAATTCTCAAATTTCGTCTGACATGATAATCCATCCCGATTTTCAAGGCATTTAATATTACGAACAAATTGTTTGCTAAGTTTACGTCAGCGATATCTGCGACGATCATTAAACTTGCTAAAATTACTAACTTTATATACACAAATGATGTCCATAGTATATATGAGATAAGAATCGAAGAATTTTTATTATTGGAAATTATTAGTACGATAAAATAAATCATTACTGTTGATAATTTTATATAAGTAAAAGTAATACTAATTAAACAAAGCAAAATAATGAGTTACTTACATAAGTCTTCTCTGGATTTCTTTTTCTCTTTGAAAATAGAATATATAATGGTTTCCCGAAGAGCATCACCGGAACGCACAAGAGAGCGCACGCAAGCAAAACCTTCTGCAGAATATCCTGTCCCTCGAACATGTACTGGGAACAACCCTGGGGCACATCGGCATTTTTGAAAAGCATCATGTTAATAAATGTAATTAACACCGACGGTGCACAACCTGGTCTTCGTCCTTCCTCTGTATTACAAAGCATTACGTTAGAGATGTGTGTATACATGTTGCAATTACTTATTTAGAGATAAATTATATATTTACCCTCAGCCGAAGCCTCGTATAAAATCCATTTAATAAACATCAGGACAGTCATGTAGAAAAATAGCAATAGAAGGAAGAGCAATTGTGGCAGAAATTCAAGAAACAGGTTGGCATATTTCTTGAAGTACCTGTAAAAAATCAACAACGCGTGATAACGGAAAACTTCGATCAAATCTTCTTAAGAGACAAGAGTATTTTATGCGAATAAAAATTCGAAAATGCTTTCTATCGGATATTATCTCGAAATATCGCTTAATAACGTTTAAACTTAATCACGTGTACAAAAGAAAGAAATTGCTTACGACTTTGCAATCTTAAAGAAAACTTATGCTTACGCAGAACATAATTCGACGCTGCTTGATATTAGATAATATATGAGTATTGATAATGACTCTATTTTTTTTCTTCCGACAATAGTATATACCTTATTTGCACATCGCGACTCTTAACTTCTTCCCGTCAAACTCATGATACTTACACCATATTGACGACGTTCATGCAGACGCCGAAGATCATGTGCGCGACGCCAAGAATAATCGACAGTTTCATCTTGAACGAATTGTGAAATACAATTTTGTTCTGAGCGAGAGCCCAGATCGGGTCTACACCCAGTGGATAGGGATACTGCAAGTAGCTCTCGTTCGCGTTCGGCGACATCTCTAGCGACTTGTTATATAGCATATCGTTGTACTTATACTTGTTCCTCCAACTAGATCCGAATATGTTAACTGATTTGGCAAAAATGTCGTTGTAGATAAAACCACTGTAGATGGAAAACAAACCCATGAGGAGGATGATGTAACGACCGCCGAAAAATAGATTGCCGATTTCGTTGTCCGACTTTTTCGCGTTGATCTTTTTCTCCATCAGTACCATAGCCAAGCCGAAGAGCGTCAGTATCAGACCTAGCGCAGCGAGTCACACACCGATAATGATTATTCAACAAAATATATAATTTTCACATATTTAATTTATTCGCCGTTCGCCATTCGCTCGCGCGAATTTACTCACCGTGGCCGGCGTCGCCGAACATAACGGCGAACAGAAAGGGAAACGTAATGATAGTGTAAAGTGCCGGGTTAGCTTCGCGATACGATGCCACACCGTACGCGTCAATTAGATTTTGAAAGCCTCTGGTGAACTTGTTCGTCCTGTTGAACGTCGGAGGATTTTCATCCGTGTGGATCACGTTGAGAAAAGACGGTATGGAGCTTCCACATTGTCGCTAAAAGAAATCCCACATTTTTTCGTTCAATAACTTCATTCGTCTTATGTTTCGAGTATCTATTACCGATCTTCCCAGTGAACAATAATACAAAAACTGTTTGCATTGCAACGAATTATTTAACGAAGTATACGATTTGAAGCTGTTTCTATAAGCAAAGCAGCTCAGAAAAATTATAAATATCGATCTAATATAAATATAACGACTCAAATATAATTTATAATTTTATTATGTCTTCTATTACGTCGACAGTAAATGAAGACAGCGAAAGTTATATTTCTATTTAACATGGTATTGCTTAATTCTAGCCAATCGATTAATCGTCTATATATCTATTTTTATTTTTAAAATATATAAGGCAAGAGAAAAATGCAATCTCTATTCTGCACGTTATAAATTTAATTGAATTTTTGATATACATGTATACATATATACTAACCGATCCTTCCGTGAGGCAATTTTGCACGGTCCCGAGATCGGCAATAGGCATCCAGCATTCTCCGATGAGACATTTTTTCGACACGTCCATATTGAACAAATTCATTGTGTGATAAATAGCTTTCATCTTTCGCACCATGATACTCCAATTTGGTAACTCCTTCGCTACGTTATGCAGGACACGCTGGCGATGATCTTGCGTTTGATTTAGTACCTTAGCAGATAAGTTCAGATGCAATGAAACATTTTTATTGCCTAGATTGGATATTCAAATATTAAAATATTTCTTTGATTTAATTATGTGTTTTTATTAATTTAAATCTAACAACATAAGCGTCTAAAAAATATCTACAAATAAAAATAATTATATAAGAATTAATATTAATAATAAACTTATGATATCTAACAGTTATACGAGATACACATTTGCACTATAAACTATTATTTAAACGTACTATTTAAATACATATATTAACGTTTGTAATTTCGACGCAACAATTCTCACCAATTTCAGGTCCTCTAGCCGTGTCCGCACACCTTTCAGCATTTCCTGACGTTCCGCATGACTGGTCGGGCACGGATAGAGCGAGGCATGGAAGCCAGTGCAGACCTTTTTAATACGGGTCTTCAATTGCTCCCCTTGAAAAAATGCCACGAAGGCCGTTTTATAGATCTCGTTGCCCTGAAAAAAGAGAATCGGGCGCATCGACGAAACGTGCAGCGTTTTTTCATTTTTTTTTTTTGCGACATGTGTCAAAGCAAAGTAAAATTAATCTTTCGAGGTACGTTAGTTCTATTAACTATTTCGAGATATCGCGCGTCGCGTCTCTTTCCTGAGATAACCGGCAGAGATTAGCAAATACAATAAATGAAGTAATTTATCCGCATTAAGATAAAAGAGAAATCAGAGCTAACCGTAGCCGGATCTTCCAGCGGTTTATCAAGTTCAGTTTGCCGAAGGAAAACATTTCCACGTGATATACGCCACAGCATTCTCTCAAAGGCTGGAACTCGTTCGCGATTTATTACCCCGCCGACGAATCTGCAAGAAATTGGATATCATTATAGCGTCATGATTTATTAAGCAGTATATTATTGTCTCCATAACTGTTGCTCAAAAACGTGCGTACAGTGAATGAGTTTCTTTCGTTTGTCGCACGTACTTTTAACCGCGACGTTACAAGAATTTTTATCGAATTATTTTTATATCGAATTATTTGGAAACAAATCATATAAAATAAAATTATTCGAAAAGAATTTTCTGTTTGAAATTACTCCTTCAAAATTGTTTGTATAAACTCGAAAATATAATAAATTAATATCTAAAATTGTGTATAAAAATTAAATAAAACAAAGATAATTTTTCTGTTTTTCTTAAAAGTTTTTAAAGTTCTTAAAGTTTTTCTTGATAATCTTTTCTTTTTATCACATCTGAAAGTTATCTAACAAGATTGTCCAGCAAAAATATTATTCGTATACATATTTTTAATCGAATTTGTGTCATGGCAATGGATTAATTACACAATTGATAATTAAAATTATTCTTTAGATAAATTAAATGTTATATAACAGAAGTTTATTCTGGGATGTAAATCCCGTTGGAATAAGCGCGCATACAAAAGCAACAAAGCCGTCGCACGGGGAGCGCTTACGCGTACAAAGAGCGTCCTTTTAATATTATTAAATGTCTCACGCACGCACGTTTAATATATTAACGTTATAATTAATACGCGAGAGAAGGCCGGTTTATCCGATAATATCCGTCATAACTGTAACTTACTCCAGGCGTCCGTGTGTCGAAACGACGGGATTCGGGGCTTCCTCGTTGATGAGCGCCTTAGTGATCGAGTCATTGGCCTCTTCCTGTTGATACAGAAGAAGAAGAAACGAATCTTGATTCTTCGACAAAACGATCAACATCGATTACACGAAGGAGGACGGCGCTACGAGCAAAAGCTGCTGAACTACTTTAGGTAGTACCTCCGTGAAGAACGCTTGCGTCTTTTCGAGCACGTGCTGTAATTCCGTCAGCTCGACGTAGTTGCTCTTCAGGTTCACCGCGTTTTGGCTCAGCTCTTGTATGTCGTTCTCCGTTTTCTCGAGATGCGCCTGTTACGAGGAGGGAATGCAATTGATACGTAATATCGAACGTACAATGTGCAATTTAAAAACACCAAGATTGTAAGCAACAATACTATTTTTATGAAATAATATAAAAATCGCATAACATTTAATAATAACTTTTATTTGTCTATTTTAATAACTATCTGAAAAAATTTTTTTTCTATCAAAGAGTAAAATGTAAAATTTCGATTAAATACATATTTTGTGAACGTTACGTTATTAAACCTGACTTTAAAAAAAAAACCGAGGAATCGTTTATTTTATTCCGATTTATTTTACACGATATATCGAAATAAACTTTCAAAGTGTTTCGCAGATTTTATTTACCTCGAGATCTATAATTGCGCGTGGATTCGGCGCGCGTGGTAGTTCCGTAAGATTATCCGGGATCGGCACACCATCTTTCTTGACCTCCGCCTCGATGTACCGAAGCTTGCGCTCCAGTTCGTCGCATCGTCGGACCTCGTTGACGAACTTCCGTTGAAAATAATTCAAGTCGCCGTTCAGCTAGATATTACGTCAGAATTTAACGTGATTAGTTTTATCGATGTAGCCAGAAAAATTCGTATCGATCAATTCTTCGACGATGTTCGGACAAGCGCACTTACACTTAAAAACACTTACTCTTTCTCGCGCATACGACAATTATTATAAAATATATAAAATATAATAAAATGAAATCACAGAGGATGAATTTTTCATTCCTACACAAAAAAAGACATAATTTGAAAATAATTTTAAACGAATCATCTAGCATATTCAAATCATTAAAACGATTAGTAAGTAGTTACAAACTAGTCAGACTATATAGTTGCATTAAATAAAGTGATCGAAGTGAAGATTACACTTAATTCAACTTACATCACGAAATTGCACCGTACCAGTTTCTCCAAGTTCCGAAACAGAAAGGTAAGCTGCCTCCGGCTGAATGAACAGCTGGCAAAGGGCCATCTCCTCGCTCCTGAACATCGCCCCCATCTTCAAAGCAATTTAATCCTTACCCTGAGACGAGAGAGATAATATTTCTTATAAATTGCAGCCTGTATCAAATACAGAATAACAGAAAATAACGCAGGAATAGTTCGAAACGACCATTTTGCGGTCTGAAATATTTTATCTTGCCTATAAAGAAAATTGTTTATATATGCGATTTTCATTTAATTTTCAAAAATTTTTAAACGTGCCGTATATCTTATTCAAATATATATTTAAGAAAGTACAATTTGAACAATACTGTTTAGCGTATTAATTTAGTGAAATTAATTTATCAAATTAATATGAAATTTTTTTCTTGTTAGACATTTCTGAGAAAAATGTAGGAAAAAACACGAGTACAAGAGACACATTAAAAATGTAGGAGAAAGTGAAAATATTTCCAATTCTTAAAATACTTCCACAAGCAAACATTGATTTTCAGATAAGACAATCATATAGTCATGCCTTGTTAACGCGGCACGCACATTATTATCGATCAATAAATGTGTCATATATGTAAGACGTAACAAAATATGCGAAACGAAAAAACGAGGTCACAATGAAACGTCACATATTTCAGATGTCTATTAATTAATGTAGTTGTAAGATAATCTTAATAAAATGAAAGTAAAAGAAATAGTCTAGATCTACTAAGTAAACGAATCGGTACCTACAAATGGCAGAGAATCCTGCTAATGTATTTAACTAGAAACTACACGTGAAAAACGGAGCAGACGGAAAGCGTAAAGTAGATTTCCGAGTAGATCATTCACGAACTTTTTTCCTCAGTTAAAGCAGCGACTGTATAGCGAGACGGACGAGACTCAGAAAGCGACCGGAATGAATGAAGAAGAATCAAGAGAAGAAAAAAAACTGCGGAAACACTGAAAACCGCGATAAAAGACTTTCCTTGTCGACGGGAAAACTGCCAATATTTGATTTGCAAACACGTTCGACTTTTTCTCCCGCGCTCGATCGCTGGTAGACCGAAGATTTTCTCACCGAAGCGAGGGAGACGTATTACGAAGTCGCTATCAAATTCAACGTGCGACGCGTCTTATCTATCGGTAAACATAAATTCCGGAAAATGTAATACATGGGAGGTGCACAGCTGTATTTTATACTCGTTATACCTGTGACGCCGGTGTGACGTTAAATCTGATCGCCGAAAGTTCAAGTTTGAAAGTGTTTTACGGTGCCGTTTCCACGTGGCAGGCGCGGAGACGCAAGGGTAAACAGGAGTGCCAGATAAGCGAGACGCTTCATAAATATGTACGTGAATAAAAGTGTTACACTCGCGTCGGCACACCCTCGTCGGGTTAAATTTTCTCTCTTATCGCGCCCGTCGACTGGATTAAAAAAAAAAAAAAAGTGGCGCCGATGTTACGCTCTTGCTTTCGCAAATGCGACGCTGATAATATAATTAATATTATGTATAAATTATATATTTTGCGCATTAAACTCGAGAGGAGGAAAGTTCAAAATCTTAAATGACATAAACAATTCGAGAGATACATAGAGTTTCAGGAAATTCGTAGAAATCGAAGATGCGTCTGCATAAATCATGCATCTGAAATGACATTTTACGGAAAGACGGCGGAAAACAATATCCTCTTCTCATTTAGTAGTCATAATCGTACGATGACGAATCATAAAAGAAGCAATCGAAAAATTAATGTCTCTAAAACATTTCTCGGCATAATATTCCTCCATATATCTCTACAGCGTGAGTAAGATTAACAATAAGCGTGAGTAAGCTGCATTAAAAATCGGAAAATTAGCATTCTTTTAAGCAATTTTATTTCGTTATCAGTGAGTCAGTGCCCATTGTAACTTATTTTGAAGAGAAAAATACCAATGTATTATCGACTGGGCTAATCAAATATCTCAAGGTCTGACCGTTTCAACCGGCATTTTCGTCCACGTGGAAAACATATTATGCAACATATGTTGCGTGTCATAATTTTTGAGACGACAAATATATCCTTCCTGTTGCAAGATATTATACCAGTCAAAATATCAGTTTAAAAGTCAATTTAATATAATGGATAACTTGTTTTATAATATACATAGTTTTCTCTTTAAGGAAGTAGATAATACCAAGAGGGCATTATTATACGCGGGCAGTAGTCCAGCAAAATTTCTGTCTAGAAGATTGCTAAATTTAATGTTGCCTGTCGCAAGTTCTTCTCTTATTACTTGGTCGCACGAGAGTCTGTAATTGGCTAAGTGGCTTGTCTCGTTATTGCACGTGCAGTTGCGCTCACAAGGGTGTATATTAAGAATGACGTATATTTCACTTCTTTAATATTTACAAATTAGTTTCAGCTGTTACGTCAATTGATATTAAAATATAAAATTAAAGATAGAGACTTAACAATAAAATTTTTTCTGTTTCTACATTTTCATGACTCACATTAATAATGAGGAGTTACTTATTACATTTATTAAGAGATATAGAAAAAATTCGCTGAAAACATTTTACAAATGTAAAGATTTTCTTTCTATTCACATCGTTTGATTTGATTTTGTGACGAGTTGTGGACTGTCACTTACCAGGATCACAAATTATTATTATTGGCAATGTATTGCCAAATTAAAAGACGATAAAAGATAATTTTTAAAGAATAAATTAAAGTCTAATTCCTAATTCTCCTTAATTAACTAAAAAAAACTAAGTATAGATAATAACAGATAAGTACATATAATAACGTTCGATGCCTTAATTCAACATTGAACGAGACTAACAAGAGTGTAATCGTAGAATACAATGTTGCGTGCGAAAATGCGATAAATGGACAAAACTGCGGTAGTAAATTGATGGCGGACGGGCGTTGGTTTCCTGTAAAATTGTACGGATATCCGAGTTTCCGAAACATTTATTGTACGGCGAAAGTAGATAAATTGTAAAGTTTAACGTCCGTCATCGCTGTGGAAAAAAAAAGAGAGGAAGCTGAGAGAAGAGAACCGAAGACATAGAGTTCCTTATATATTTCATGAACGATTGCACATAAAAAAATGTATAGCAGACAGAAAGCGTGAAGAATTAAACTAGATGAAAGAAAGGGGGGAAGAGAAGTAACCACTTATATATATGAGTGCTGATTAGGCTGTAACCCTAATAAACACGAGGCAAGTTCTTCGCACGTACGCGTCGTTATGGTTACTAACTATAACGTGAGATTACGGTTCGGAAGATGTCGTGCCCGACAAGAGTTATTCGAAAAAAAAAGAGAGCGCATATCGATTGAGCGATATGATAACAATCGGAGAAAACAACAAATAACTAGCGAAGGCAATCAAACCGCAAACGGGTGATATCTTGTGACACGCTATACAAACTCGTACATCATATAAGCAATCGCAAGGAAGAATGAAATAATTAGTAGATATAAATTATCTTTGATTATCTGAATGAAAAAATTCTAACATACACGAACGTTCTTCTTGAAAAAAAGAAAAGATAAACGAAGCTTCTCCTCGAACAGCAAACGCTTATGTTCTCCAATTGATCGTTAAATATTACTCATTTGTGAATTATTGAATTATTACCACAATTAATATCATCGTTTATTCAACTACGATCTCGTGGTAATAATGTTGAAGTAAGCATCTAATTCTAATTCATTCTAATGCACCGTACAACAACATGAAAATCCTGGATGATTCATAATATTCAGTATAAATGTTCGTATCACAAGCCTAACGTTGACGTGAGACGTTACACGCGCTACGTAATATAATGACCGACAAGTCACATGTAACGGCTTATCAGCAATATCATAATTTGATCTAGATTGAGATCTAGACTCAAGGTCGTCATACAAATTAAATCGAAGGTGATGCTTCGCTTAATCGAATCAGTTCGAAAGTGAAGTAAGTCCAGAATTTATAAGAATTGAGATAATAATTTGCGCGCGCGGAGTGCATTTTTTTTTTACACAGAAGACTTTACGAAAGCAAGTAATAGTCACGTGATCCTCCGGTAAGGACTTCGTCCGATTATCATTACCATCACGTCGCTCGTCGAAAGCGACACAGATCCTGCGAGGATACGATCGCTCCTCCTGCTCGACGAAGAGAATTCAAATCACCGACCTGCTTACGTCACTCTCGAACACAACAGAGCGATCTTATAATAATTAATATAAATTGCAGATTTATGGAAACGTGTAGACAAGAACGTCGTGGCTATGGGTGCGGACACGACGGGCGCGGACAGATAGAAATAGCGTGGAAAATATCGACTCACACTGCTGCTGACTATAACGTTCGCCGGGTCGCGTAAGACGCGCGCTGGGGCCACTACCAGGCGACGATAAGCATTGCACGCACCGTGGAAAAAAAATAAAATAAAAGGAAAAAATGTTACGTAACGATCCGATGAGGGGATTCGAGCGTGCACAATAGGTATCGCGCGACTGGCGCGCGTCTCGTACTATCGCGGACTTTACAACTTCGCCGTTGGGTCCCGATTCAACGTGGCGTGCGACGGAACGAGTCTGGGCCATACAATGAGCTACGAGCGGCGATGAGAAAGAGAGAGAGAGAGAGAGAGAAAGAGAGAGGAGAAACGCAAACGAGACAAGCCTGCTCATTGTACGCGCGGCAGATGCTCGTTCGAATCAATCCAGTGTCAGGTATGCGGACGACGTCCGACGTACGCGGTCAACAAGGAGCGCGCAATGGGCCAGTATCAGTTACGCGCTCGACTACCAACGGAGATAAAATAAGCTCCTCTTTCTCTGCGCGAGAGGCTTGAAGATAAAATTCCTGGGTAAGACGACACGAAAAGTGACCGCGCCGAAATGGACCGATGGACTTTTCGCGCCAAGTCGGGACTGCTTCACTGTTAAATCTATATAATATAATGTCAAACCTGAATCTAATACAAGTTGCCACTGCTCCTGTTTAATAAATAGTTATCTTTTACTAAAACAATGGAGTTAAATAATTTAAAACAGTTCAAATTTAACCTAAATTTTGGTTAAATTCCATCGTTTTATTTAAAAATAACTATTTATTAA